AGAGAGAGAGAGAGAGAGAATGAGAATAAGAAGGGTGTAATTAATCCGACTTTATTGTTCAGTCCGGTGAGAAAGCACGACGCTTACTCACGGCTTCTCGATTCTTACGCCGATTATCTTCATCCGCCGGATTCACCGAGGTGTTTCGACTTAAACACAGACTCGAACGAGCTTCGAGCTTAACTTGGTTGTTGTGAATAAGTAAGCGAAGTGTTGCGAAGTGCTGCAGAAGTTTAGCCAAGCCCCCGGGCACACGGCCGGGTTGGCTCGAATTAAATTGTTATACGGATGAGCTGCCACGACGAATACTTCGCAGAAACCAGTGACTTTCCCACCACCCTCGGGTGTGAATGTTTAATCACAGCCTCCCGTTATATTTAATAACATAATATCGCTGCTAGGCACGCCCAAAATTAAAATCTCTTCGCCGACGACTCCCTAACGAGATTCCATATTACATACAATTCATTCGACGAGAATCCCTAATTTTCTTTCCTTATATATTAAATCTCCTCGCTTTCGAACTGTTGTTCCAACGCCTTGTTTTACTTCCAAACATTCGAATATTGCGCACCGCTGTTCCGAGAGATCATCGAGCTTCTTACCTGTAATTACACTGTTGACACGCAAAACACTCCAAGTGGTAGACGTTCGTTCTTGCCCTCATCACCATCTCGAAAGCTGGAATGGTTTTGTTACAGGCCGCGCAGTGACCAGTGTGTCCAAAGAGTCTGCGCAAATCGAAAAAGCAAAGGGCTAATTTCAGTTCGGCTAATTTCATTATATTTCGTGGCAAGTCAACTCCGCGAGACAAAACAATATCGCGTTTTTATTTCCTCTTACACGTCGATATTACTCCCCGAAACGAAACACTCGTTGTCGTCGCGGTGGATAGACTTTTAGCCAGCGTGGAACGAGAAGCAATAAGCTTACGACCACCACGAATATGCCATCTTCAAATATTGGGCCATTAATAAAGACCACGGAAGGTTCGATAGCGAACCTTCGCTCTTCGCAGACGCGCCACCTGCGCGTGTTCCCTCGGGACTTTGTAATCTCAACACGGTTTATTTGCCCTCGCTTGTTTATATGGGACGTGGAATGTATTCAATAAGGGAAACTCATCTGTAAAATTCGATTTGTTGCTTCCGTTCGCCACGTCGGCGTCCGTACGCGTGCTCGACGTCTCCTTTTCCACTTTGCCCTCTTTATTGACGTGCCCCGCACCGTGCACCGCGGCACAATGAAATACGAAACGTCAACGGTGTGCTTCGAACACACCGGAATAGAATTATAATATTACGAACTGGCGATCCATTTCGTGGTTGTTCACGTTCCGGTGAATATTTTCGAGAATGGAAAGGAAATCGAATGAACTACTTACTTTAGATAATCCTTCTTGCATAATATGAGATTAGACTTTATAAAAAGCGACGGGCCAGCTTCCACGAGCCGGCAGTTGCAGCTGTTACACTTCAAGCAGTCTTCGTGCCAGAACATGTCCAATACCTTCAGAAGATACCTGTAGTATGAAAAACTCAGTCTTTACTCCTTCTTTCTTTATTGGAAAAAAAAAAAAAAAATGTTTGACGACAGGAACATTAAATGTTTCTAAAATATATGGAAGAAAATGTACTTTCTGGTAATTTCCCAATTCTCCGAAAGAAAAATTATTCAGATTTTATAACAGTAGGTCAGTTATTCGAATTTTTGCGTTTTGTGATCTACAATGTAATAATAGATCGATATCATCCTTGCAGGAGAGGATAAATCATTTCTTTATACTTTCGTCAATTATGAGTCGTGCAAATTGATACTCACCTTTCCGTGATCACCTCTCCGCAGCCGCCGCATTCTCGTTGCACAGGCCCGTTCTTGCTCGGCTCGCTCTTGCTCACATCCATCGTCGACTAATTTTTAGTTTAGACGTCGGCCCTATCTCCTGCAACACAATGGAGTGGCCCATTCATCGCTACAACTCCGAACGAATGCTGCAAAACCAATACGCTTGCTATTACACGATATAGAGATATAGAATATCGATCAATTAACTCTTTGTAACTCTGATTTTGTTAACACGATCGGCAGTAAGATTAGCCAGAGACGCGGCAGAGAATCATCGACAGAATCGGACAGGATCGAATGATTAATCGCGTTTGCGTGCTTTTAACAAGTTTCAACGGCATCTGGCACTAGGAGGACGACGCCGGCCTCTGTCTATGAGCAATTAGAGTTACAGGTTGAGAATTTAACGGCGCGGTTAGTGCCATCTGTGTCCATGGTACGGTGTGCGTGGCCGGGGCCTTTCCCTGGCCGTGTCCGGATGGTACGCGCGCCTCTTTCTCGCGCGATGCGGTCAGAGTTTAGAATCGAATTAGTTTGACCCCTCTCTTCTCTCCACTTATTGCGCGTTTAAGCGGCACCGGGTCTGAAACAACCACACGGCTTGTCGGGCAACGGCTGCGCGGGCTTCCCGATAA